ATATATATATATATATATATATATATATATATATAAAAATTTTTTTATAGTCATTGAAGTATTAGGTTCTTTCATCTGGAGAGCCAGAATCTAAAGACTATATTTGGTTTAAAATAAGGAATTTAAAGTTAATATGCCCTTTGCAGACTTCCTGATGCATGCAAAAATATTTTATGGCATATATTCTACATTTTACCATTCTACAAATCTACAAAATCATACAAGCATAGGAGAAACATAAACTAAGTAAAAGGAGTACTAAATCTAAGATCTAACAACTTGGTGTATATATATTCAACTTCACTTTTATATTTGTTTATATTATTATACTTGCAATTTAGTTTTTTATATTGATATCCTAAGATCAACTTACATGTTAGTGGAATAAGTATCCTGTTACTAAAGTTTTAAAAATATATATTTACACTTGGGTTTCTTTTGGAAATATAATGCTACACTTCCCAAAAATTAAAGTTAAGAAATTTTAAGACAAGTATCATTAATTAATTCTCTTCCTTCATTACCTCTAACATAATAGCAACTACTATTTACCGAGGGCTTGACTTAACAACTTTAAAAACATCATCTTGTTTAATCTCACAGGCTCAAAAAGTAGCTACTATAATCTGTTTTTTATATAAGATAATGGATGTTTAGATAGGCTGAATCATTTGTCCAAAGTCACTTAACCAGTGGCAAAATAGACAAGGAAACCAAGACATTTAGTCTCTGCTCTTTCCATCAAACTACAATGCCTATTCTCTTCACATAGCCTTAAAGGTTACTCAATTACAGTGAAAAATGTCTTTTATTTTTAAAAAATTAATTTATAACTACTGCAACTGCTCTTTGAAGCAATTAATTATACTGATTGGACATCACCAAAATTTTCAATACTCACTCACTCACAAAATGATACAAGGACAGTCATATAATACCCTTTTTATGAAGCATTTTTAAATAGAACAGAGTAATTAAATAATATGTGTGATTAGATAGATCTTTGGCATTAATGACGGATGTATGTTCACATCCCTGAAAATCTCAAAATTCACAGTTCATCTGTAATCATACTGTTGCTCAGAAAGTGCGTATTTAAGACCATGAGAGCTATACCATCCCCAAAGTCAAGTAGCAAAAACAAAGCCTTTAAGGAGATGAGGTTGGTAGGCTGACTAGGTGGCTAAGTGACCAAGTTTCACACAAATATCTCAACCCAATTGCTGCACGTAAGAATCAAATTCATGTCTCAGCAAAACTATACATTTCACTATCAGTGGACAGAACTTCAGGGTTATTTGTGAAGTACCGCAAGGACAAATGTGAAATCTGGCAATTCCAGGAATCTATCATACTAGCAATATAAAAAAGATTATGATTAGCCTACCAAACCTAATATACTATTTACTAAAAGAAGTTAATTTTGTAGAGGAGCTATGCTTTCTTCTATAAATATAAAAATATTCCCTTAACAAGCTAATATATGTTTCAATTATGTGTATATTCAACTGTGAATTGCTAATCTACTCACATTTGAATGGTAGCAAGGTGAAGATGAATATGTAAGCTCTAAAAAGCATACTCAATATTCTAATTTTCTTTTTGAATAAAATAAATATTTTTAATACAAATTACAAAAATGGTAGAAATTGTTTATGTTTCACAATAAATATAATAGTTATAATAAATAGGTTATGACACCATGGCCCAAACCTTTTAAATCTAATTAAAGTCTGTTAGAATAATCGATAAGAAGTATATAAACTAGTACAAAAAAAACTTGGTAAGAATAATATGCCAATTGCATATAGACCACAAATTAATACCTATTAAATAATCTATTATATAAATATTCAACATTAATAAATGTTTTGATTATGAATGAATGATTTTTAAAACCTTATATTAATTTTTAAAATTAGCTTTAAAATGTTAGCACAATTTTCTAGTCTGGCAGAAATTCATGCATAATTTTTTTTTTAAATTTCTAGAAATTGTTTTAAATATTGATAGATTTCCTATTATAAGGTGTTCACAAACTATTTTTTGTGCAACTGAAAATTTTTCATTCAATAAAAAAGATGACATATTATGAAAGATAGATATAAATATGAAAAATGACATATCTATTTACATCTTGACATCCTATCTAGTGAAAACATGCCCAAAAAAAGTACTTAATTTTATACTCATAACTTTTTTTTCTGGAATTTCATTCAAAAGCAGATCCTCAAATAGTATTTCACAACGATCGGCAACTGTATTCAATATATCTCTCTTCACTGCCTATGGAAAAACAAGACAAAACAAATTACAATAAGAAATAAAACTGTTACTTTAGATTTGTATTATTTTATTACTAAGAAACCCTCACATAACTGGTCTCCCTATATAATCACATCCACTAAAATAACTGATACATCATTCCTTTTTAAATGTCCACTTAACAGCCTTATTAACATTAATAGTTTAAAAGCAAATTTGCCTGGCTCATATAAAGAATAAATTAAAACCAAATAAATAAATGCAGTTTTGCATCTAAACAAATAATGCTACTATTCCGAACTAGGAAATGTATAACTATAAAAAAAGTGCTAGTCATCCTTTTTAAAATTTCTGAATTACAGAGATTATAGAATACTACCTAATCATTCTCCCAATAAATACTTTTCCTATTATTTAAAAAGTTCAAGCCCTGACTGGCTTGGCTCAGTGGATAGAGCATCGGCCTCGGACTGAAGGGTCCCAGGTTCGATTCCGGTCAAGGGCATGTACCATGGTTGCGGGCACATCCCCAGTAAGGGGTGTGCAGGAGGCAGCTGATCGATGTTTCTCTCTCATCGATGTTTCTTACTCTCTATCCCTCTCCCTTCCTCTCTGTAAAAAATCAATAAAATATATTTTAAAATAAATAAATTTAAAAAATTTAAAAAAAATAAAAAGTTCAATTTCCCTTAGAGAAAATGATTTCCAATGCACTAATAAGTCACACCGTGGAACACGTAATGAATTTGTATAATCATCACTTTAAAAAAGAGATAAAATAGACATTCTACATATGAAAATCTTGTGATCAATTACATGGTATAATTGTATTGCCTAACCGACTAGGCCTTTATTAGTCAAAGTTAAATTAATAATAATGAAAGCTGATACTGAAAAAAATAAAATCTTAGGATTTTTGAATAGTCATGCTAACACGCTTCTGCTTTTCATGTACCAGTTATTATTCCTTTTGTACCTGCACAGCATCCTTAACCTTGGGTTTATTGCTATGAATGTAAGCTCTGCACTTCACAGCGCCCTTAAGGTTTACAGAGCCGCTGCAGATCTGGACGGTGGCTGTGGATCTGTGGTCTGAATTCAGAAGCTAAAAGACAAAAATCACTTTAAGTTCTAATAGCCAACATTATATTAACTATATAAACTACATTAATAACTACAAGAAATATTTAAATATTATAGAAACCATTTCGTAAAGTGAGAAGACATTTTAGAGTTTAGACTGAACCAAGTGTTTGAAAATTTTCTCCATAAATTATTAAAAGGCCTTCATATTTCTCCTTATATAAGATATATGTCATTTGTTGAGCATTTGAGTATAGTCAAATACTTTATGTTAAATTTTTAATAGTTTTGGGCCAAAAGACTCAAATAGGTTTTATTAAAATAATGTTTCTTTTGAATAACTTTCCTAGAACTGGACATTTTTTACAGTCTCTTACATCTCTAAAATTATTTGACTCTCTAATTATAAACATAAAAACAGAAACAATTTCATTAAGGTTATTCTTAGAAATAATGTACTTTAGATAAGAAGGATTTTAAAATATTTACCAACTGCGTTAACACTCTGACATCAAAAGAACAACTACTTGCTTGAGCATTTCCTCTAGGTTTTTTCTAGGAAAAAAAAAGTTAAAACTTGATTACTGAGATCAAAATGAAACATAAAAGACAATTTAGGAACTATCCTACACATACTAGGTAACTTAGAGGGAAAAAGTATTATTATTTATTTTATTTTAGCTATTTCTATAGATATGTTACTTTGTATATTCTATAGCAATCAATGTATGTTGAGAAAAAACAAAACAAAACATTAATTCCCTACTTTTATTCCTCTGCAGTGGTTCTCAACCTTCCTAATGCCGCGACCCTTTAATACAGTTCCTCATGTTGTGGTGACCCCCAACCATAAAATTATTTTCGTTGCTACTTCATAACTGTAATTTTGCTACTGTTATGAATCGTAATGTAAATATCTGATATGCAGGATGTATTTTCATTGTTCGCGACCCACACGTTGAGAACCGCTGCTTAAAGCAAGGACTAGCAAACTATGGTCTATAGGTAAAATCAAATTTTACTGGAACACACTAAGATCATTCATTTATGTATTGTTTGTGGCTGCTTTCATGCTACATCAGAACTGAATAGCTGCAACAGAGACCAAACGGCCCTCAAAGTCCAAAATATGTACCATTTGGTTATTTCTGCAAAGTTCGCTAACCCTTGCTCTGAAAGGAGAGATCACCAAAGTTTCTCTTCAGATCAAAGCTATTTTAGGAGCCCATAAAGACCCTTCTTTAAAATGGCAAAAGTTAGTCTTCAAACTGTCATTAGGGCAGGATTCTGATTATTTCCGAAATAATCTCATAATTTTATGAGAAAAACCTCTGCCCTTTACTTCAAAAGGCCTTAGAAATAAGAAGTAGGTGAAAACTGTTTTCATGAAGGAAAGGACTATAGAACTAAGGATACGTCATCTTTTGTTTTTCCTTAGTGCAAATAATTTCATAAGTAAGATGCTTTTCTCTGAACTCACCTGTCCTTCTAGTAGGTCACAATCTTCACCTTTAACTTGTCCATTAATCAAATAAACACCATTTTCTATTTGCTTCGCCCAGCGTGCAAGTCCATTCTTATAAGAAACACAACAGGGATATCTTTCAAATATCCATCTCAAACTCCCCACAATCAACTTTTTCCACCTAATTCACTGGCGTAGTGAAAATCTCTATGTAGCAGTTTTTTGCACCTTACTCATCCTATGTAATAAAAGCCTAATATGCTAAGTGTCCAGTCGTCAAATAAGTTCAATAATTCCCATTATCTTTTTAAAATGTGAGAAGAGAAAAAGCCTCAACTATATAAAGCAGTATTTGCCTCCTTCAACAGAAGATAAATGAGATATAAACAAAAGAATGATACAAAAATTCTTAAAAAGGACTAAAAAAGAGAAAACAAAACTAAAGATCATGCAAAAGCAAAAAGACCAAACAGTGTACCTTCTTATATAACTATATTTTACAATGTACATAATTCTGTTAATTAACAAATATTTATGGAGCACCTATTATGCTAAATATGTTAGTATTACGACATTGTCCCCCCTCTAAATTTGTAATCTGGGGTAATAAATTAGTTACCTCTAACAATACCATTACAATTAGGATGCAATTTTTGAGGATTATAAAATGAACAGTAGACAACCAGAATAAAAGCAAATTATCTATTCAGCAATCACTACAGAAAATTCATTTAACCCTGATACCTTTGTATTTTTCTCCAGAGGATAGCTGACAGAAGTAGTAGACAGTGGGATGTGAATATTAATATGAACTGTGCACTCTAAAGAAAGCCATGAAGTTGATAGTCCATTTTGATACTTCCAATCTGCTGGTTTTGCTGAACTCTTTAGTGAGAGGGGTAAAAACATAAAATATGTGCTTTAGGTCATCATATGTACAACCTAATAACTTGAACAACCTGATAGCTAAGACATTTAGCCAAATTCTTTCATCAAAGGGCAATGGGTTACAACTAAATAAAAACAAAGCATGCATTTCATTTGAGTAATCTTCAGAATACTGAACTTGGTGACTCCCTCCTCCAGCGGCTGGCTGGGAAAGACCAGATGGTCCATGTTTAGAATTCTGAGGAGTCCTCTGGGCCTCTGGCTCTCATCTATAGCTTCAACCATGTTAATTCTGAAGCTTCTGATGTGAAGCAAATAACCACTGAGTGGCTTTCAGGTGCCAGATGTTCTCCATTCTGTCCCATCCACTCTAACAGAATTCTAAAAAGTTACTTTTTCACATTGCTTTTAAACACCTTAGTAAATGTTAGTTCGGATTCTGCTGAGTGCAAATAGCTTGCTTACTAGGCACTATAGCTACCAAAAGCCCACATACTTTTACTGCTAGCCTCTCAAATATAATACTAAACACATAAACAAGGCAGGGGGAGTTTAATAAACATATGTTAACAACTAAAAAAAAAACCACATAAATCTTCCTTGTCTGTAATGAAATATTTCAAAATAAAAAACTATAGGTGGTTGTGGACATCAATAGGAGGGAACAGCATTGAAATTTTTTAAAACTAAATAAAGAATTGAATTTTGTTTTAAAAATAGTTTGCAACACAGAAAAATCTTTAAAGAGCAATTTTTCTTACCTTTGGATCATGGATATCATAAGTTCGACAAAGTATTCTTTACTAATTAAGGATAAAAATGACCCAAAAAATAATTCTTGATAATCAAAAGAAAATAAATCATCAAAAAATAAAATAACTATAAGCATCCAACAGTTTTTACAAAATTATACCATTTTACACACTTAAAGAGATATACACATATGTATGTAATTATACAAATATATATATATAAATTGCTCTGACTATAGTTGTGGTGCTTTAAACTATTTCTTATGGCTTATAAATCCTGCTAATCATAATGAATAGAAAGCACTTGCTCAAATACACACCCTGTATAACAAATAGGTGTGCTGTTTTGGATGGAGTCAAGCCTGAGAATCTTTATTGGGTCAAGGGGCCTGTACATGAAACTTTCTGTTAAATATACAAAGGAGTTTAAAGCCCAGCTTCTGCAGGAGCGACCACTGTTTGAATTTTGTGTTTTCCAAATCCTGATTCATTGGGCCCTTGCATTGCTTCACTCTCTTCCTAAGGCTGTCGCTTGGGAGGCATTGTTGCCCTGGCAAGATGTATAGGAAAGGGGTCCCTATAACGGCTTTTAGTGCCATTTGATCTTGGCTCAAGTCCTAAAAATTTCTTAGATATCCTAACTGTCCAGTTCACTGCACCTGTGCTTTGAATTGGACATTTTACCAATAGCAATTGGAGGTAAAAATTTAACATAATAAAGCATTACTTTGCCTAAGCTGTCAGCTGGGGTATCTACCTCTCTATAGGGGACCTATTGTGCTGGTAAACAGTTCTCATTCCCTAGTCCTTGACACCTCTGTCAAACTCTTTGCAACCTTAAAGCATGACTATATTAGTAGTGGTAGTAGTAGTAGTAGTTGTTGTTATTGTGCTAAGTATGTATTATTTACAGAAAAACTTAAAAACTAAGCTTATTTTTTAAATAATGATTTAAATAAATGTTTGGAGGGAAAACTTATAGGAACATTATTTTGGTATTATATACATTTAAAACATAAACACCTAAATAAAAGATACTTTTTTGTAGAAGAGCAAATATGAAGTGTCACTCGATCTGAGACTTCCTCCTCTGTGAAATTCCACAGTCTCTTTTTATTCATAGATTTTTCCACAGCAAATACTAGCTGAAATAGAGGAAAACACACACCAATTGAATGCAAAGTGAAAGAAGAAAAGTGAATTCAGAAAAACATACAATTATAATGTCCCTAAGATCCCATCTATTTAAAATTTCATGATTCTATAATTAAATTGTCTTTTCTTCAAAAGAAAGAGTGAAACCGATTACTAACCATTTGAGTTCCATTTACACAATTGGTTTTTTAAATAGAAAAATATAATCCATCACCATTAAGAATCAACTGGACATAAAAATTAATTTTGGGCAAACATTTAAGTGAAATATAGAATAAAGGCTTTATTATAATAAGAGTGAGAAAGGACAAGTAATTTTTAAACTATAAAAATGGAGCATGTCACCCATTTGGCATTTCTTATTTAAATGTAACAAAAGATTTAAGGCAATATATAAGGACACATACAATATAGTAGCAAAATAAATTAAAAGTGAAAAAAATAGAAATAGTGACATATATTTATACCAGAAATAAGAATTATGGAAGGGCATACTTGATATATGGAGAGAAGTTATAAATTTGGCTCTAAGCTTTCTAACAATAATGTGCACAAAGAAACCTAATTTGTTACCTACTTCACATGGTCCATAAAGCTGAAAACAATTGATCAGAAGAGGCACAAGTTTCTTCATAACGATATCAAAAGAAATTTCTTCAAAGACAATATAATGTGATATAATGAACAAAGTTCTTAACAATGATCTTATGAAAGACACTGGCAAGTTTTATAATGTTCTTTCTTATAGTGTTCCTCAATGTTGGCCAATGGAAACAAAGTTAGATAATTCAAACTCAATAATTTCTGAAATACAGCATTTCTAAAGTTTCATATGCTTCTTACAAACAGAGATATAAAAGCAACAGGAAAGAAGATCTGACTATATTTCTCTAGCACTGAGTCCACATTCACCCCCATTCAATCCAGCACCAACCACAAAAGGATGCACAATCTTTATGTTATTAATACATAAAGGTTTAGATCATATTCCAAAATGCCATTAAGACCAACTGTAATATACATTTATTAAAAACTAGAGGCCCAGTGCATGAAATTCGTGCATGGGAAGGGCCCTAGGCCTGGCCGGCGATCAAGGCCTTCCAACTGCCGGCCAGGGCCTTCCCTCATTCCGCGCCGCCCCCTGGAGGTCAGCGCACGTCATAGCAAGCGACAGAACTCCTGGTCTCGTGGTCAAACTCCCATGGGGACACTTTGCATACTAGCCTTTTATATATCTATATAGAAGATGGGAAAAATAGCAGAAGGTTGAATAACTTCCCAGGGGAGGGAAAAACCTCCATTGTCTTCCCTTACTCCCTTAGGTACAAATATCAAAAGTTTGACAGTGGACATTCGATAGTTAAGGTTATAAAACTGGAAGAATCTGTAGCATCTGGAATTCTTAGTTGCACACTTTTTTACTAGAAAAAGTTTGGGGGATTTTCTGTGGGTTTTTGCACTCTTTAAGATTATGAGGTCTGCTTCTCTCTTGGTGGAGAAAATAACTTTTTATTTATTTAAAAATATATTTTTATTGATTTCAGAGAGGAAGGAAGAGGGAGAGAGAGACGGAAACATCCATGATGAGAGAGAATGATTGATTGGCTGCCTCCTGCACACCTCCGCTGGGGAATGAGCCTGGCATGTGCCCTTGTCCGGAATCGAGCCCAGGACCCTTCAGTCCACAGGCCGATGCTCTATCCACTGAGCCAAACTGACCAGGGTGGAAAATAACTTTTTAAAGAGATGAAAGCTGGCTGTAGAGTTTATTTTAGGTTGTCAGGGGAAACAGCTTGTGAACCTTCATATTTACATGTAGACTTTAATACCCAATTCACTGATGTGGGAATAAAACGAAAAACAGGGGATTCATAATACTCAGACCAGGAATAAAGAATAAATATCTTATTATTGTGATGATTTTATGTTTTACTCTCAGGATACTGAGAGAATTGAACAGAAGAATCACAAAGTCTATTAATTTCACATTACAGCAATCACTTGGAACTAAATGAAAGGTCTAGCAGAATATTGCTATTATATGACAAAAACAGTTAAATCATTATAACTTGTTTCATAAAAGTAAAAAACCTTTAAATGTAGACTATTTTAACATCTGTAGCTTTGATTAAAAATATAAATATTGGCATTACACACAAGATACCAAGCAATTGGGTGGGAAAGCTATGTCAACATAATCTATAATAATAAAAGCGTAATATGCTAATTAGACCAGAAGTCCTTCTGGATGGGATGTCCTTCCAGACGACCTTCCGGAGGAAGCCGGGATACGGGTCCTGGGTGCCTGCTGGCAGCCAGAGGGAAGCTGGTGCCAGCAGCCGGGGGAAGGAAGGCCTACTCTTGCATGAATTTTGTGCACCGGGCCTCTAGTCTCAGTATAAAGAATTATGAGACAGAAATTCAAATATGTATACAAAGGTATACATATATACAAAGAGCATCCATTAAAATAAGATGTAACTTGATCATATTATGAATTTTTATATTTCATACTTACTCTGCGCAGGGTATTTTGAAAATCATTTCCCATTTCTAATGTTGTAATAATAAATACTCCAAGAACTAAAAGTCCCCCAGGTAGCATTCTGGATACCTAAAATAGAAATATAGTATTAGCTAACATAAACATTTGGCATTATATGCAATCCTTTGTGTCTGAGAAGCTAAATATTAAATCAGCAAATCTCTACTATCAACTATATGAACAGCATTGAGGTAGGAGCTTTGAGAAACGGGTTAAAATACTGAGAAATGGATGATAACCAAGACAATGGGGTGTCATTATAAACACAATTTTCCTAGAGTATCCTGAATTTAACTCTAAAATAACCTTATAAGTAAAACCATTAAATAATGAAACCCATTAGCTACAAAAATAAACCAACCCCTTTCTCATGAAATCAGAGACTGAAATATCTTATAAGATGTTTTTCAATGGCTTCCGCTATCAGCTAAATAAAGTATCAATTTTTCCTTAGACTGCTATTTCAGACTAAAATCTGGATAATCGGATATCCTTCATTTGACACTACTTACTCTGAAATATCAAAATGCCAGTCAAAACTTCTCACTGTTCTCCATACATATGCCTAGGTTTTCTAACTCTATACCTTTACTCAGGCTGAGAGCTGACTTTTTCTTATATTTTTGGGGACCGTCTGGGAGGTCCTTAAGGGAAGAAATAATTCTCAATTATCACTGTATCCCTATATTTAACAGAATACTAGAACCTGGAATTTGATCAGAGGGTGTCTGACTTGAAAATCCATTGTTTCCTATTATCTAGGTTTACCTGTTTTTAAAACCTATTTATTGATATAATTGAGTATTTATGTATTTTGTAATTTTTCTTTACTCTAAAATAATACTGGTTAAAAATCCTAGCAAGTCTTTCTGTGTTCACTGAAGATAAAGTGCTTTTATTGTGTCAGTCAATAAACACAAACCTAACTATATAAGGAGAAAACTATGGTGACCTGGTTAGCATGTTCTGTGGCCCATTCTTCATCCAAGTTATCCACCTTATCTTTGGGATGTTTGAGGTTCTCATTGTTTTCCTCTTTCGGTGGTGTTCTAGTGGCAAGAATCACATAATCCTTTTGGGAAGAACACTTAAAAACAAATTAGAAAAACTTATTAGAGTGATATCTGACTGGGGAATGTAAAGCTCTTATGACATACAAAAAAAGTAATATTTATAACAGCTTAAGTTGTTAATGTCTATGCTATAATGGAATCTATACAGAAATCAATTTTCATAAATATGCTTACAACACTTCCCTCACATGTCATCTTTTAATATATTTAATATCAGCCTCTTATTTATTTGGACATCCAAATGTGAATCACATAGTGGTCACTAAAAATGACTTACTGGATGAGTAAGTGAACTGCATTTAAATCAAAGGAAAAAGCGCCGAAACCGGTTTGGCTCAGTGGATAGAGCGTTGGCCTGCGGACTGAAAGGTCCCAGGTTCGATTCCGGTCAAGGGCATGTACCTGGGTTGCGGGCACATCCCCAGTAGGAGATGTGCAGGAGGCAGCTGATCGATGTTTCTCTCTCATCAATGTTTCTAACTCTCTCTATCTCTCTCCCTTCCTCTCTGTAAAAAATCAATAAAATATATTTAAAAAAAAAAAGAATGTTTGCAATACATTTAAAAAAAAGGAAAACAAATATGCTTGGTCAAATAATATAGTATTATTTCCTATATAATTTGAACATATTGGTGATTCAATGAAATAAAGCAACAAATGACCTTGTGCACCTTACTTTCATTGAAAGGACAAATACTGTATATCAACAGAAACTAAAAAAACAGAAAAACAAACAAACAAAAAATGACAATAGTGAGAAACCTGCATATATGTGTCCATAGAAAAACAAGGGGACACAAGTGAAGTGATATCAGATTTATGTTTCTCAGTTTTAATAGCAGTTAAATGGTAATCAAAGCTGGAAAACCCAAATATAGATTTAGGGACATTTAATAGCCTAGTGTTATTACAGTGGAAGGTTCCTATACAGAAAGAATGAAAATAAGGCTGATAATACAATTTAGTATGTTGTCATCCTCAGACATGACCTGAAATTCCCATCATTAGTGTCATCTTGGACTAGAAAAGAAAGACAGAGAACTTATTTCTATAAAAGTTATTTCCAGCGAGTTACATTCAAATGTATACAGGAAAAGGTAGGTGCTGATTAAGAAAGCTTTTCCTTCTCATAAAATCTATGACTTTGAAAAGAAAATGACCCTAGAAGTAGGAAACAGATAAGCTTGAGGGGGAGGAGAGAAAAATGATGAACCCTAGAATAAAGAGGAAGAAGGAACATGTAGAAGAGCAGAAGGAATGAAAAGGCAGCATGAAGCAACACCAGAAGGAACATCCTAAATCGGGAGACGCATTTGTGAGAAACCGTCTGTGTGCACTAAGGAAAGTTTGGAAGAGGGTATTTCTCACTGAACTTTTGTTTCATTGAACCCATCTTTCTCTAAAACTCTTCTTCCCTTAAATTAAAAAAAATAATAATAATGGGAAGTAAAGAACCTTAAATAAAAAGTTCCTAGCAAAAGGAACCCTATATTAAATACTGAGTACCTGGAATAAAAACGAAGTTCAGATTGTGTTGCCAAGAGAGGCAGGCTGGCCATCTCATGAGCCTCTCGGGATGGGACTACTGGGTGAACAGTGCAGGGTCTGCCCTCTGATTACAAGTTAAGAATCAGGTTTGTGACCATGAAGGTGTGACCGGGGGAGTCATGGGAATATGGATAGCATCAGAACAAGGAAAGTTCGTTCTGTAGTTTGAATACTCTAAGCCTAGGCATCATGATAAAATACCCAGAACTAGAGCTCTGGACAATAGAGCTTCATTTGCTAACAGGCCTCAAACTCAAGCCCTTGGGCCACAGTGCACTTTCCCCTCGACAGTGTTTAGATGGACACAGGCAGTTTGTCTATGTAACTTTCTTTTGTTGTTGTTGCTGCTGCTTTGTATTGCTGATGAGTCCTCCTTGCTTAGCAACACAGTCTTTGGTGCTTATGCTTTTTCTAGTAACTGTCCAAACCTCTATTCCATTTTGTGTTGACTTTTAAGGCTTAACTTTATGGGGGAAATAGAATGTGTATAATTTTCAAATTTCTCCCACCTCTTCCACTACCTCTCCACCAAATTAAAAAAAAAATCAATATGATAAGTACTATTACAAAATATAGGATGACTGTTGCTATAAGACGAGATAAGACAAATTACAATGGGAATAAAACTGTCAAAAGCTACTTCTATAAAGAACTGAACCACCAAGAATTAATAAAGATAAAAGGAAGTACAAAACACTTTGGAAACACACACAAACACACAGATAATGTGATCAGTAAAAGTTCTAATTTTGAAGTTTCCACATTATAAATTATTTTTACATTGTCAAATGGGAATGTGTTCTGACTTGAGCACACCTGGACTAGGTTTGTCTTACTGCTCCACATTTTTCCTCAAAAATCCATTTTAAATTTACTTCTACATTCCATCCCTCCATCCCCTAACCTTGAGTTTATTGTTAAATAGCATGGTTCAACTTTAAATAAACAGGTAATTTGTTCTGTCAATAAATACGCAGTAAAAGATACATACCTGTCCTATTAGAAGACCTGAGACAAAAGACTTTCCTTGGAGACTGAGGTTTGAGAGATATTGGCCAATAGTCTCTTCTACAATGTAGGTTCTTCCCATTATTGAGAACTAATTCAATCTCCTAAATTACAAGAAAAAAATATATAGTGTTATTAGGGGGGAAAAATATAACTTGCAACATTTTCCACATGGGGGGAAGAAGAGAGAGAAGTGGTACTACCTCAATGCTACCCTATGCTTTGCAGGGATTGCTTATTAAATAGGATATTCTTACTTGCAAAGTTCAAATGTAGCTTCAAAATTCTCTACACAGTGCTGCAAACGACTAACCGACCAGAGTTAATATGAGAGATGAAACTTAATGCCACATTTGCGATAAATTAGTAGCCAACACACCTGAATTTTTATTTCAGATGTACTACTCCTTAGTTGCGTTAAATAATCTATTGCTAAGCCTCAGTATGCATTTCTCAAACAGAAAAGGTAATTTTTTTTTAATCCTCACCTGAGGATATGTTTTTATTGATTTTGAGAGAGAGCGAGGGAGAGAGAAACATCGGTATGGGAGAAAAACATTGATTGGTTGTCTCCCATGAGTGCCCCAACCAGGAATCGAACCTGCAACATAGGTATGTTCCCTGATTGGGAATCGAACTGGCAACCTTTTCGGGGTACGGGATGACGTTCCAACTGAGCCACATGGCCAGGACAAGGATGATAATATTTGATTTGCTCACTGGGAGGTAGAGAGAATCTAAGCATACTGTGAAGAACTACTACTGCATGCTAGAAGTTGTGGCAGGGGAGATGGTATGAAGGTGGTACTTGATGTCTGCTCTTGAGTAACTCATAGTACAACAAGAGCTACTGAAGTAAATAGCAATGCAATAACATTTGTAGAGCTTCTACTAAAACCAAGAAAGGTAATGTAACTTGCCCAAGTGGCAAAGCTGGTAAGTGGCAAAGGTACGATGTAAACTCAGTCTGGTTCTAGAGTCCATGCCCTTAAATACCATGCTCATAATGAGGAATCAAACTCAGTTTCTCTTCTAAACCATTATCAAGGGTAACTCCCGACTGCGGATGAGAACCAGTATATCCCTCTTACTGCCCTGTGCTCCTTTGATTTGATTTTCTGTAGCTAAAAAACAAAGATGCCAACTAAAAGAGTAGACAATAACGAATGATGATCTCAAAGAGTTCACATTCGGTGTGGGAGACAAAAATGTAAAGAGATGATTGTGGGGCGCGGTTACGGTGTTTTGGCCAGGTTCAAGCCTCAAACTAATGAAAGGACAGGGTCCTCTCATTGCCACGTGCAAGTCCCAGCTGGAGGGCAGGGCCCTCCCAGCACAATCATAGCCAACAGCTGTGGTTGTAAACTTGAACCTATGGTCCGAACACGTAGCCCCACGTGCCTTGTGCTAGAGTTCAGGTGCCTGTAGTTAAGTGCGGTTGAAACTCACGAGAATGCTGTAAAAAACGTGATCATGCCCCTACTTTGCCTCGTGGCATCTGCTATAAAATAAAGACACGGCTTGTGGGCACTGTCTCCTCATCAGGGAGCAGCGTCCCACCGAGACCCAGCTTTCGTTCTCTTGTCTGTCTTTTCTCAATCCTTTCACCCCCCCACTCAGGGTCACTGAACCAGGCTGAGCTGGCATGGCACATAAGGCACCCTGGGGCTGAGTATGCCATGGCCGTGCCGGCTCCCCACAATGATATTCCAACATGTTATAAAACAGATATAAAAGACTGCAGGTACACAGTTGCAGCATATTGAACAGAGATAAGAGTCATGTGAGCTTTAATAAAAAAATTTCACTCTGAGTCCGTCCGCACAACAAAGCTGAGGCAGCTGGAGATGCGCAGGGGTGGCGTATCTGACACCAGCAGACCGTCACAGTGATTCTGCATTCCCTAAAACAAAAGCCCAGAGGGTTGGTTCCACTTTGAAATGGCCTGCTGGATGCTGTTTTTGTTGTCGTTGCTGTTGTTTTTCCAAGAGCCTGCTCAGTTTTGTCTCGACATGCATTAAATTTCTTCCGACCTCTTTTCTGACAACTGTTTGCACACAATGTTTGTTTAGATTAAGTCTAGAACTGCCTGTCTAAATCATTAATGCCTCCATAAAGGGAAGGGCTTTCGACTTTCATAGTGCCTTAAAGTATGCATTTCTGTGTTTTTAAACTTTCCTCCGCTTCATCACGCTATTCCACTCCTTTCCTTCTGGCCTAATAATCCCTAATTCTTGCAAGAAACAGCAGTGACAGTGACTCCAAGGTTATGGTATGTAACTGTCTAACCTGATTTCTCCCAAGGTGACACCCATCAGCCATGTTAATGTGTAAGAAACCGAATGCAACAGGAAGATGAGAATGTATTGGGTGGTAAAATCTGGTTGAATGTTAAGATTTTTTTGTTTGTTTGTTTAGTGCTCCTTTAAAACTTCGAAATGTGGCCAACGACACTTCACTCCTGGAAAGGTAGACCTTGGCTTACACAGTTCAATTTTACCTGAAATGTTGAGCGTCAGCAGGAGCTTTCCAAGGCGTCCAAACACTGTGCCTTGAGACGACTCTCCCGCCCTGCGCTCTGGTGACCTGGGTCTACAAAACAAATCCTAGCGGGATCCCAGCGGGTCTGAAAAACCCATCTAAACTCAGGGTCCTGGGAGTTCATGCACAAAACACCTGCAATTTCCACAGGGTAGAGAACAATGCGATGATACTGTGTACCTAGGGCAAAGTACAGTACGGCACACGCCTGCAACCTTAAAGTGGTTACATGAAATATCTCAGAGACTAAAAAAAAAATCAACCTCAAACGCCTTACTGACAGTCGGAAAAGGCCTACTACTGTGGAAAATTGCAGGGTGAACGGCACCAGCAACGCTTTGTTTTCAACTAAGACCTGAACAAGTTATTTCAGGAGCCATCCAACATGACGTCATCCGTAGGCTCGGCTCGGAGGCCAGGGTCACATCTGGAAACCAGCGGTTCTCTCCAGGTGGCAGAGTGAGGAGTGCTTTATAAGAATCGTGTTCAAAAACGTCTGTTACGACAGTTTTTTCCATTTAAAAAAATATAAATGTTAAGGTCACCTTTTCTGCAACGTTACCTTAGAGCACAAAAACAAAGGTTACACTCACAACTCCTCCGAGCTTCCTTTTTTAAAATACAAGCTTCGTCCTGGACCATGAACCGGGCTCCTGAAATTCCTGGTGGCTCACCGTTCCCCACCCCAACACACTCACACACACACTCTCTCACACACCCACACACTCACACACACACTCACACATGCACACACTCACTCCCACGCGCGGCATCTAAATAGCTTTCAAATAAGGTGAGTCTGTCACAGCTGGATTCGAGTGCTGTGCCATAGTGTCTGTCCATACGTGTCCTACGGTCTGTTTCCTCCTTAAAAAAGGAAGCTGTGTGTCCCAGTGCACACACACACCTTCGCACCCTCAGGCTGAATCACCGGTCCGCGTGGCAGGCAACTTACCTGCCAGTCAGTCCCAGGAGCTCGGGGCTCAGGTACCAGCCTCCAGGGACCCGATTCCCCTCGGGCCTTAGGCAGTAATTCATCAGAAGGCGACGGACGCCCCACCCCTTACTTCCCACTCCCACCCCGGGTCTCAGGCGTCGGGTGGCGCAGACTGATGACGCAACGGCCCCCTGCCTTCTCCGCAGTTCCTCTGCCAAAGCGCCTGCGGGCCACCCCGCCCCCTTCCGGGCACCAGTCACCGCGGCGCTTGCCATCCGGCCCTGCCGGGACCGATGCCCTCTAGCGGCTCGGTGTCTAGGAGCCGCCAAAGAGGACTAGCCATGGCCTCCCGAAGCTTTGATGGTAAGCTTGCCCTGCTTTTTAGGGAGGGGCGTGGGTTAATAAGCACCATGTGGCGCCACCTCGCGGACAGTGGCCACGCGGCCTGCTGAGGAGAGCCGGGGGGCCGGAAGAAAGGTGGAAGCTGACCCGACGTTGCGTAATTGGGCTCCGCGAGGCATTTGAGGGGGGGAAAAAATACATTTCCCAGAATCCTGCGGGGCGTAGTGCTGGTGAAAGAGGGAAGTCGGAGTGCAGTTCCGGGTCAGAGGCCGCCTCTGAACTCCTGTTCCCAGGATGCACCGTTGCCCGCTGTTGCGCGCGCATTCGGACGCGGGCGCCGTATCGCTGGTGGTGCCGCCGCTAACACAAGATTTCATTTCCCAGGGTCCCGCCGCGGGAACCTGCGGCGGGCCGGCGCGCGCGAGCCCCCGAGCGAGGCGGCAGAGGTGGCCGCGCAGGCTTCTGGGTCCTCCTGGTCTTCGCCTTTCTCCTCCGCGTCTGGTCCGTCGGCCGCTGCCGCGGCGGCCCCCGGCCTGGCCGACATGGCGGCGGTGTTGCAGCAGGTCCTGGAGCGCACGGAGCTGAACAAGCTGCCGAAGTCCGTGCAGAACAAACTCGAAAAGTTCCTGGCCGACCAGCAGTCCGAGATCGACGGCCTGAAGGGGCGGCACGAGAAATTTAAGGTGGAGAGCGGTAAGTGACGCCCTTTCCCGCGCTCAGGGGGGTGGGCCCGACTCCGGCGCGGTGGCCGGGCTTTCCCGCTTTCGAGCCCTGGTAGCCCCTATTCCTCGCTCTCGTGGGCCCCTACCGGGGCCCTGTCGCGCCGGCTCCTCTCTCAGTTGGATACGCAGGAGCCTTTTTGTTCGTTTCTTTTTGTAAATCTGAGTCCCCAGCCAGGCCCGTTTCCTTCGTAATGAGGCTAGTCCCACAGAACACGAACTTGCGACGATCTGGGGTCTGTTTACCCCGCACTGAAGAGCCTGCAGCCTCAGTCTAAGCCTAGAGCACCCCGCGCGTCAGTTGCGCGGAAAACCGTGGTGGTGGCCGCCGTGTTGCCGGCTCACCTGCGTTCGCTTGGTCTAATCATCAGGCTCCAATCATTAGACTGTAATCATCAGGCTCGAAGGGGCAGTCTCTGCGCTGGTTGTGAGTGTGGGCGGCGCTGGTCCGTGGGAACTGGATGCGCACAAAGATGCGCGGGTGCGGGGCGTGGCGTGGCGCTGGCGGCCAAGGGAACCGGCGGCAAATGCGTTTACTGTGTCGGACTTAACCTCCGACAGCTGGAGTTTAATGGAAAATACGTGGCGACCTGTTTATTACTACTGCCTGGAGCAGACCTTCAGGTGAGAGCGAAGTTGCCGACCTTAGTGGCTCGAACCATTAGTAACACACACACTGCCCGCTCCACGCTGTGGTTCACCCGTTGTTTGGGGGCGCTCGTTTACTGGGTTTTGCTACGTTGGCTGAAAGTTCTGAATAAATGCTTACTTCAAAGTGTGTAGCAGAATTGAGGTGTTGAAAATTAATCTCCCGAGTCCCAGAGGTGAAGGTAGTCCACGGCCTCTTCTATTCATGAATTGACACAGAAATACTGAGTGTCTCTGATGGGCCCGATAGCAGTGCTGAACAGAACTGACTCTGAGCCCTTCGCGTGATAAGTTAACGCGTTTGTTTTCACTTAAATGTAGTAATTTTATACTTTGGGGCATATTTTGACTGTTTTAACACAAGCCTTTTTTAAAGCAGAACCTTTTTTGTAAATAATTTTTTTCTCCCTTTAATAAAGCTTATTTGGCTGCTTTATGCTAAGGTATCGACTGGCTCATGTGTGGGGGAAATACTGAGATGTGAAAGATATGTTTCCTGCCTTGAAGTGGGATAGATAGTCCAGTAATTTGTAAAATCCCCCTCAGGTCTTTTCTTTTGAAGTCATTTTCAGTGCTGCATGTATTTACCTTTACTCAAGTTTTCTTACTTGGAATGCAGTTCCAATACTATGTCTTAAATTTTAAAATGAAGCTTATTAAAAATAGTGGCAGTATCGAAATTGTGGGTACATGTGTGTTTTATTACTATTTTTTTCCTCTGCTCTTCTGTAGAACAACAGTACTTTGAGGTAGAGAAGAGGCTGTCCCACAGTCAGGAGAGACTTGTGAATGAGACCCGAGAGTGCCAAAGCTTGCGGCTTGAGCTGGAGAAGCTCAGTAAGTATTACATCTTTTTTTTAAAAATATATTTTTATTGATTTCAGAGAATAAGGGAGAGGGAGACATAGAAACATCAACGATGAGAGGGAATCGTTGACTGGCTGCCTTCACGCCCCCTACTAGGAATCGAACCCACAACCTGGATATGTGCCCTTGACTGTAATTGAACTGGGAACCCTGCAGTCTGCAGGCCGATGCTACCAGCCAGGGCTTAATTACATCTTTATCATATTCGTAGAGTATTGAGATCTTCTGACACTTTTGTATACTTTGGAAACATCTACTTACTGTATATGAAAATACTGTTTTCATTTATGGTAATATTTTTATTTTTCATTCAGTGGTAAAGACTATAAAAGAAAATAGGGTTTTCAGCGGTTCTCAACCTGTGGGTCGCCACCCCTGAAAATACATCCTGCATATCAGATATTTACATTACGATTCATAACAGTAGCAAAATTACAGTTATGAAGTAGCAACGAAAATAATTTTATGGTTGGGGGTCACCACAACATGAGGAACTGTATTAAAGGGTCGCGGCATTAGGAAGGTGGAGAACCACTGGTTAGTGGTCAGGGGGCCTTGGTTCTGAGTGCTATTAAAATGCTCTTTTGCCATATGTAACTCATAACAGTGCCTGACTATTGTTTATAAAATGGCTAGAACCACATGCTGATCTACTTACTATACAGACCAAATGTGATATTTTAGAAAGCGTTTTGAAAAAATAAAAGCAATTATGCAACTGAAAAGGTAAAGAGAGTGCTTAATTATTTTTATGTTGTTGAAAACTAAAACCTATCCCATTTGTTTTAATTTTCTGTTATAATTTTTATAAATATTAATCTCAAGATATTTCCTACTTAATCCTAGTTCAGGTGAAAGAAGAGTAGCTAATTTCCTTCTTAGTTTTCTTACATCATTAACTACTAGAAAGTACACAAGATCTAAAGGTCTTGACATTTATTGGGAAGATGATGTGTATTTGCTTTTTCTACAGTAGAAGAAAGCAAACGTCAGAAAAGACCTGGTAGAGTAGGGGCATAATATTTGTTACTAGATACAAATGGGTTTCAATTTGATTAGGAACTCAGGAAGCAAATGATAAGGAGAATGGTTAAAACATCAATCTTCTTTCTTAACCAGGTTCATGCCCTTTGGCTATTTGGGTCATGCTTTTTTTCAGCTAGTTTTGGCACAACTCATTTTTAAAACATGACATACATATGATGGTATGATATGGATACATTTGTAATGAGGGCACAAGTACATATTGAGTAACTAGATCCAGTTTATTGTCTATACATTGTTTTGCCTTGGCATAATAAAAAGGTCTGTACAATAGTGATGATAAAGAATTTCAGGAAAATGACTGGTTATAGCTGCTTGTGTTAGATCTGGAAGAGGGAGAGGGAGGGGAAGATGGGGATAAAGATAAAAAACAGACCTTTGAGGTGTATAATTACATTTATATTTTTTTAGTTTATCATACTGGATGTATAAGTTTGGAAAGCAGTAAGTAACTTTAAAGCAAAATAGAAAATTTAGACTAATTTCGTAGGGTTTTTTCTTGTAATAAGCCAATTGTTTAAATAGAACTTAACACTGGAAATAATAATAAAGTATTAGCTCATTAAATTGGTAGCACATAATATAGATGAGTTTTAATTGAAGAAAATTTTAGAAAGTTAATTCTTTCCTAATTACCTTCATGTGTTTAGCAGAGAAACTGTATTAAGGAGAGATAGCCCATTCATTATAAGTGGAAGTTGTGGGATTGGTAATTGAGTATCAAGCATAATTTCCTTTCTTCCATGTTAAAGGCTCTCTTTACAGTGATTAATAAGCTGAATTATAATCACAGTGTCTATTGTGATTTATTCTGTATACAGTTTATGGAAGTTAAATGTTACTAACTTCTTTGGTATGTTTTAGCTCAGTTTCCTTATTTGTAAATTTAATTCACTTTTTTTATGTTTGACTTGCAAGATGTCATTGAAAAATAAGGAAGTTGGTAATTACATATGCTTTTACCTATAAAGGTTGGCTGGAATGATCACATGGAATTTTGGAGACAGGATAGCCTATTTTAAAATTTGGTCTCGAAATACAGTAAATTTGGGATGCATTTATGATTTAAAATGTGATAAATAACTCAGTCTTTCTGAGACTCAATTTCTTAATTTTATTTTTTTTTTTATTTTTTATTTTTTTAAATGTATTTTATTGATTTTTTACAGAGAGGAAGGGAGAGGGATAGAGAGCCGGAAACATCAATGAGAGAGAAACATCGATCAGCTGCCTCCTGCACGACCCCCACTGGGGATGTGCCCGCAACCAAGGTACATGCCCTTGACCGGAATCGAACCCAGGACCCTTGAGTCCGCAGGCCGACGCTCTATCCACTGAGCCAAACCGGTTCTGGCCAATTTCTTAATTTTAAAGTGTATATGAGTGGCAGTTGGATAAAACCTGTTCATTGCAAGTTGTAAGCCTGTGTGTGATCATAAAATTCCTTTTATCCAGACAATCAACTGAAGGCACTAACTGAGAAAAACAAAGAACTTGAATTTGCTCAGGATCGCAACATTTCTATTCAGGTAAATGTTATTCCTATGAATAAAACTAATTATAAACATGATACTTGAGGAAGTTTTCTATTCTGATCTATTAGTTATTTAGTCACTGGGAAGATGAAACAGATGTTCTATTAGAAGCTACTAGCAAAAGCATATACATAAATTTCTTAATTGGATCTTTATATGTTTTATTGCTAGATTGAACATTTTACTCATTAGAATATATTAGTACAGTGGGGCCTTGACTTACGAGTTTAATTCGTTCCATGACGGAGCTCGTAACTCAAATTACTCGTATGTCAAATCAAAAAGTGAACGAGTGAGACACGTGATGCTGGGCTGATGTTGTGGTGTTCACTGTGACGTTCGCTGCACCAACTAGCGGTGGGGTATCTGAAGCTGGCTCGTAACCCAAATTTTAGCTCGCAACTCAAAGCAAAAAATCAGCCGAGAGACTGCTCGTATCTCGAAAAACTCGTTAGTCGGGACACTCGTAAGTC